TTTTTTACCTAATAGTTTGTACCTCTTAATCCCCTACCCCTATATTGCCCCTCCCTGTTCCCCTCTCCCCACTGGTAACCACTAGTTTGTTCTCTATATCTACGAGTCTGCTTCTTTTTTGTTATATTCACTAGTTCGTTGTATTTTTTAGATTCCACATGTAAGAGACATCGTACAGTGTTTGTCTTTCTTTGCCTGGCTTATTTCACTTAGTCATTCAACAGTTTAAGTTTTTTTTGTTTGTTTTTTTTTGTTTTGTTTTTTTGTTTTTTTTGCGGTACGCGGGCCTCTCACTGTTGCGGCCTCTTCCGTTGCGGAGCACAGGCTCCGGATGCGCAGGCTCAGCGGCCACGGCTCACGGGCCCAGCCGCTCCGCGGCATGTGGGATCTTCCCGGACCGGGTCACAAACCCGTGTCCCCTGCATCGGCAGGTGGACTCTCAACCACTGCGCCACGACGGAAGCCCCCGTTTAAGTATTTTTAAACTTCTGTCTTCTCTAGGGACTTCCCTGGTGGCGCAGTGGTTAAGAATCTGCCCGCCAATTCAGGGGACACGGGTTCGAGCCCTGGTCTGGGAAGATCCCACATGCCACAGAGCAACCAAGCCTGTGCACCATAATTACTGAGCCAGCGCTCTAAAGCCTGTGAGCCACAATTGCTGAGCCCACGTGCCACAACAACTGAAGCCCGGGTACCTAGAGCCTGTCCTCCGCAACAAGAGAAGCCACCGCAATGAGAAGTCCGCGCACCGCAACGAAGAGTGGCCCCCGCTTGCCGCAATTAGAGAAAGCCTGTGCGCAGCAACAAAGACCCAACGCAGCCAAAGATTTAAAATAAATTAATTAATTTTAAAAAGCAGGTTGAATTAAAAAAAAAAGATCTGTCTCTTCCAAACATGAAAGACGTGTTCAAATCTAAAAGGCACAGTTTGTGATCTCCTACTGATTTTTAAATGGCTTTACTGATACATAATTTACGTACAATAACAATCTGGCTTTACTGATACATAATTTATGTACAGTAACAATCACCTGTTTAAAGCATACAATTCAATGGTTTTCAGAATACTTATGGAACTATGCAACCATCACCATCTGTAATTTCAGAGCATTTTCATCAGCCCCAGAAGAAACCTTGTACCCCTTAGAAGTCACTCTCTGTCCCTTGCCCCAACTTGTCCCATTTCCTACTGATTTTCACTTTTTTTTTTTTTTTTGCCGTACGCGGGCCTCTCACTGCCGTGACCTCTCCCGTTGCGGAGCACAGGCTCCGGACGCGCAGGCTCAGCGGCTATGGCTCACGGGCTCAGCCGCTCCGCGGCATGTGGGATCCTCCCGGACCGGGGCACGAACCCGTGTCCCCTGCATCGGCAGGCGGACTCTCAACCACTGCGCCACCAGGGAAGCCCTGATTTTCACTTTTGACTTAGATTTTTTCCCCTGCCTTTTACTTTAGATCTGTGAAAATAAAGGTGATAGAAACCCAGAGAAATGTAGAGGTTTCCTTGCCTTTCCTCCACAAACAGAAACTCCTTGGCTTTCTCACAGCTCCAGTTTCACTGTTTATGTTGTTTCAGACTTTTCAGGAAGCCTGTCTTCTTCCCTGTTGGCTGATAAATAGGTGAAAAGCACATCCTGGGGGAGGTAGGCAGATGGAAGGGAGCCACACTGCTCTCCCACTTATACCTGGGCATTGTGAAAAGAAGTGGCTTTCCTAAAGAATTACCCTCAGGATAATCGGGAGAGGAAGCTGACCTCCTTCCTGAGCACCGTCATACCACAATGGGCTGTGGCTGCATGACCTGGGCAAGGAGGACCTGAAATGACACGAGATCCTACAGGGGGTGGGGAGTGCAGACAGAGGGCAAAAGGGTTCCTGGTCTTTTGTTCCTGGAAGGGCAGCAGGCGAACAAGAGCAGAGGCTGACAGTCCTTTCACCCGTGTATAGCCTCCATATAACAAGTATTTCTCATTCCCGTTGTGACCTCTAACAGAGGATGCCCCCTGAAGAGGTGGTGAGGTCTGTGAAAGCCTCCCACCCCCTTTGGAGAACACACTTACATCTCACTTGGAAAGAGGCACCGTGACATATAATCTTCTGGGATAGCATGGCCTGAAAATGCAGGCATCGGATTTGTGCTTTAGATGCTCCCTGGTGTGACCAAGCTGACCCTTAGTCAATATGACTCAGAGAGCAGGCTCCTCTTTATTCCTCCTTTATTACCTCAGTGCACCAGTGCATTCACACATCTCCATCCCTCCCTCGCTCACCCTCCCAACACACCCCCCCCACACACACACACACTGAGCCCAAGGTCTGATCCAGATGTTAAAGCTTCTCAGGTGTATTTCATCCTTGGATGGGCAGAAAAATTCATGTCAATAAAAAGTCATAGTGAGATTCAACAAAGGATAGTGGAATTGCAGAAAGCCTCCTCTTAGAATCAGAGGACCATCTCAAGGTATCATCCCAGGAGATTTAGACACAGTAAATGAGGGATGGAGTGGGGCACAGGATCTCTTTTTGAGTTTCCCAGGTGGTTCTGATGGGTAGCTAGAGAAAGGGAAGTTACCCATTCTCTCCCTTGAAACTCTTGAGAACGGTCTTCTCTCTGTCAACTCTGACAGTAGTTCAGAAGTGCCTAGCACTGTGCCATTCCCATAGAGGAATTTAGGAAATGGTTTAAATGAATACTAAAGGCACACACTCCCTCCCCATCCACAGATACTCTCCCCACACACAAAATAATACCCTCCAAAACAAACACTTTCTAAGTCTGTCTGTAGCAAAACTGAAGATTAGAATATGAATAATCCATCTTTTCTACAGCAACTTTTGTCAACTGATCCTTAATGAACTTCCTGTTTTGTTTTAGGCCAGGGGCTTAGGTGGACCACAGGGCTTCTGAATCGGAAGGCAGGTGTTTCCCATGAAGTCACTCTGTCAACCTGTCTGGCAGTAAAATATAGACATATGAGCAAAGGATTGCAGTAAAAGGCCAGGAATGATACTGTGGTGGAGTATACTCCTTCTGTTAGTATGTTATCAGGTGGACCCTTAACCCTGGGAGAGAGGGTCACCTCTCCAACACCTGAGCTAACACCTGAGCTAAATTCGAACAAATCTGTGGATGAGTGGGGCACATTCCAGAAAGCATTCATGGAGAGGCAGATCATTTATGCAATGGGAATGTGGGTTTCCCTCCCGTGGGGAGCGTGGACAGGTGAGAGTGGAGAGGAGTGGGTTTGAAACCACACAGGTCAGATTGGGGCTGGAACCCAATCGCACCTCAGATGGGATTCGAACCCAGCCAAAACTCAGACTGGGACTTGAACTCACGGGCTGGAACTCGAACCCACTGTCTTTTAGTTAAAATCACTCACCTGGGGTCAGGACTTACTAAAACTCAAGCTGTTTATGTCTCTGCACAGAAGGAATTCAGCGAGAGGTGAAGTGATAGGTAAGAAGTAGGTTTATTAATCTAGGGTGCTTTTGAGGGATACAAGTGGGCCGGCAAGGGAGCTCTGCCCCAAGAACTAAGTGGGAAAGAAGGTGTATTTAGGGAGATACACATTCCATGGACAGAATGCGGTACATTTCAGAAGGCAAGAGTGGCCTGAAATACGGGGTGGTTAATTTTTACAGGCTGAGTAATTTCATAGGCTAACAAGTGGGCCAACACTTACAGAGAAGGGGTGGGGATTTCCAGGAACTGGGCACCGCTCACTATTTGGCCTTTTAAGGTTAGCCTCAGAGCTGCCATAGTGTCTGTGGGTGTGTCATTTAGCTGATACTAATGTATTACAATGAGCATATAATGAGGCTCAATGTCTACTGGAAGTCTAACCTTCCACCATCTTGGGCCTAATCGGTTCTAACCAGTTTTGTTATATCCTCAACGGCTATGTCATTCTTTGAAAGGTTGTGCCCTGCGCCCTTCCCTCCTGTCTCAGGGTCAGCTTGTAAACAGCCATGCTACCTGTGGTGGGATTTTATTTTGAAGGCCATGTGAAGTCATCTAACCTCTGGTAGTCTTACTCCCACCTGAAAACAAAAACGTGAGCTCCTCAGCAGATTTCGATAAAATACCTTTTCTATATTTCATGTACCTCACCAGCATTGGGAGTGAGCTTTTCATGTGATTTCTCTGTTATCTCATGTCAATCAGCATATGCCATGAAAGGAGCCCAGTCCGTGGTCTCTTATCTTCAGGGGCATTGAAGAATCAAAAAATAGAATGTAAATTTGACCTCCTAATTGCCATTTGACAATAATCATAATAAAACTTGCAATAGACAAATTGGGTGTCCTTGACGGTTTTGTCTTCTCCTTCCCTTTTCTTTGCCTTTATACTCAAAGGGGTGATTCATTTATGGGAAATGCCATTCATAGGAAAGATAGATATTTCCCACGTGGAACTTATTTTGTGTAAAGATTTAAACAAATAATACAAAGTGATAAAACTACAGTATATGAGATCTTCTGTATGTGAGATATTATATTTGAAATAATTATGTGTACAAGTAGTTATTACAGAAATAACCTTCTTTGTCAAGTATAACCAAAAAGATTATATAAGCAGAAAAATGTTAAATAAGAAAAGTTCTGTTTTATAGCCTGCCTCTAATCAGCTTCAACAACCTATTAATTGTTCAAGAACTCTTAAAATCTTTAATAAGTTTCCTATGGTAGAATATCAGTCATATGCAAATGAATCATTGAAGTTCCAGAAAAACAATGGTTCTTTAGTGAGGTTTCATATCCCCAAAGTGTTGAAAATACCTCATATGTGGTAAGCAGAACTGAGAAACAAATTTTTCAAGTTTTCTTTGTAAATTTTATTTTGTTTGAAGAATAATTCTGAGACCATCTGACTGTCACTAAGGACTGGCCAGTTATACTGTTCCCCATTGCTTTTGCTTTAACTGGACTTGCTTCCCACCCTCAGTAAGCTGCTTGCCCCAGATATTTAAAAGTCAAATATTCTCATTTCTACACAGGTCTGATTACAACAACTTCAAGGAAATTGGATCGAGAACAGCAGGCAGAACATTTTCTGGAGGTAAGCGCCTAGAGGGAGCCGGTATTCATTAAAAGTGACTTTTCCTCAACTGCTTTAACCTTCCACGGGAACTGGAACTTGAATGTGTGTGAACAGTGGGTTGCAAAATGCGGCTGTTTCTCTTGGGCTGGTTGGTTCTGAAGTTGGAGATTTCTGGTGCATTCCTCTGAATGCACTCCTGTGTGCAGAGAGTAGATGGCAGGGTGGGGACTTTGCGTTTCCTGAAAGCAAGCAGATGTATGGACTTTGTGCCCCTTTGTCAATAACTGGAAAAGAAAGTTCAGGAGCAGAGCCCTGTAAGCCATCATGGCCTCAGAGGTAAAAAGAGAGTGGGCCGAAGTGCCGCAGTAAAAGTGAAGTACGTCCTTTGTGAAGAAGTGCTCTGCTCAGCCCCTCGTTTCTTTTCTTGGGAGAGGGATTGAGAGAGAGAAAGCTGCCAGTTGATTCACTGCCTGAGAAGACTGTTTCTGAAACCATGAAATGTGCTCCTATAATTCATGAAGACAGAAACAACAGCAATAAAAACTATAAGAGCATTATTTCTGGAGGAAAAAAGACCAGGGATGAGAAAATAGATATGAAAGAGTCTTGTGGAACATTCTTTCCATACATAGCGAGTATCTTTATTGGGAAGCTTGAAGCCTGGGTAGTATGTATGACGTGGCGATTTAAGTGTGACAGTCTGATACCGAACGGATGACAGTGCTTAGGAGGTAGAGCTTTGTTTTATTGTGCCCATGCTGCTAACATGATTTGTCAGTCCCAAGAACCGCTCACTGGAATCCACAGGTCCTATACACACTCACACACTCCTCAGATCTCTTCTGAAATTCCCCTTTAAGTCAGTTCACCAGTAGTGATTTATTTAAAGAACACTGGACTAGGAATCAGTGCCTTGGGTCCTAGGGCTTCCCTGCTATGATTAGGTTGGAGCCTTGGAAGCTGTTTCATTGCCCTGGACTTCAGTGTGGCACATAATTGCTACTCCATATACCTCAAAGGATCTCTGTTAGGATCAAACTTGATATTTTATATCAAAGTATTTTTAAAACTCCTAAAGCACTACACATAATAAAGGATTATTATTATTATGCAGCCTTGTGATAAGCCTTTTAAAACATTGCTACCATCACATAAAGATGAAAGACTCCAGGCTGCCGAAAAATAATTATTTTAATTCTTTTTCAAACTCATCCTAATGGGCTACATACCTGGTCCAGAATTAGAGTCGGTTTGCCAGAATAAAAACGCCTTATGTTATATTCATGGGCTTCTTTCCTTTGCAGCAGTGTCCAGGCCTCCTGGAGAGGCTATGTTCTCAGGTAGTTGAACCTATTACCTCCCAGCAGGGAAAACAGAGGGTGTCTCATTAACTGGGGGATCTGCCTGAGATCACTTACTACCTTGTCCCTGGAAAGGTGGTGTTCTGGGGGTGTATGGGGGCGTGCAGAGTGTGACTCTAGGGAAAAGAGGCAAAAATGTTTTCCAGGCATTTGAATACACTTCCCAAAAGAATCCTAAACAGTTTCACATCGTTTACAGACTTACATGAATACTCACTCAACACTTTGGGCCTTTGGACGACACGGGTGCTCAGTAAAACGTAGTTAGTATCATTGTGGTTTTATTATCATATGGTGTCACAATACCTGAACTCTCCTACAGATTCAGCTTCATCTCCACACTCCAAGACAGACAGTAGCTCCAGGCAACTGCAGGACTGAAGGAGCCACAGGCAGCAACCACTGGACTCAGCCCGTGTCCCCAGGACTGAGCTGTGTCTCAGGGATACAGAATGAACAGGAAGGATGGGGAGACACGTGATCAATGAATACATGCTATCACTTCAGACACAAACTCTCTGAGACCACTCAAAGAAGGTTCCATAATAGTGCTTGAAAATGAGGGGGTGATAGGCAACATTCAATGGGGCGGTTAGGAGGGCCTCTTTGAGGAGGTGACATTTGGTGACATGAAGCCAAGTTTCTGTTGGAGAAACAGAACCCAGACCAGTGTGACTGAGTATAAAGTTAGAGGGCCGTAGAGGTGGTAGGAAATAAGTTGGAAAAAGCAAATAGGGCTGTAGTAAGGATTCTGAATTTTCTCCCAAGTGCAGTGGAAAGCCAGTAAGCAGGGTGGGTCGGGGCATGATAAGATTGCAGAGTGAGAGATCACTGGCCGTTCTGAGCAGAATCGGGCTGGGACAGGGCTTCCGTAGCAGGAAGACTGGAAGGCGGGTGCTTTGAGAGGGACCCAGGTGAAAGATGACGGTGACTTGGATGAGGGTCTAATACAAATCCCATCATGATTCTAGCTAGCAAGCAGATATGGGTTTTCTGAAGTTTCCAGGGTAGAGATTTTAAAACCTACAGGTCATCTGAATTACACTAACTCGCCCCCCAGCTCTGCCCCCATGCCAGGATTCCCCATCACAGGTGCTCTTTCATTTGGTAAACTACCCTGCTAAGGTTTTCAAAAACCACTTGAATCTCTATCTCCTACTCTTTCTGTCTCTCCTCCTCTTCTCTCTCTCTCTCTCTCTCACGTACAGTCTTGCTCTCACTTTCTAAATTGTACAGTTCTTAGCCACATTTTTTTATATATATATATAACATTGCTGTGAGCATTTGAATGGCCTTCATTTCTTTTTTCTGAATGGATCATGGACAGAATATTGCTTTAACTCAGCCCTGCAAAAAAAGTGAGTAAAATAATATCATTCAGAGTGCAGAAGAGAGTTCTCTGCTGTACACAAATTTCTGTAACTGCTGACACATTTTGTGAGTTGTAAGCACTGGGTGTGGGTAATTAACCTCCTGGAAAGCCTTTAATTGCCAAGATAACCCTATGCTCCTTTTAAACTCACATTAACCTTCTGGTTCTATTGCATATCTCTCCTTCCCAATCAAATAAAATGGACTCTTCTTGAAAGGATCCATTTAGAAGCTGACCTGGCAGGTACACTTCTGCATAGGTAGCCAGAAGGACATTAACGATTTGTTTATAGTTTGCTATCCCCATGATGGAAAGCACTTCAATTGTATACTGCGGGTACTCTGCCTGTGCATTAATTTCAGAGACTTAACTTGACTGTGTATGCGCTGTAAGGGTTTTGGAGTCTGTAGAACATTCATCTCAAATCTGTGACTATAAGACGGGATTGTCATTACCAGAATCTAAGGAGCTTGCTAAAGAAACGAGAGCAGCAAAGGACTACAGAAAACTTCACAAGTACAGCTTATATTTCTCTGGTGAATTCTAAGTGTTACTTCTTGCCTAATTTGGAAATCTGTTATGTGAAAATATTGGCCTGATCTTTTCTCCCTACCATGAAGTGCAAAAATATGGAATTTTCAGCTCATTTATTCAAAGTCATATGCATTCCTTGATAGCCAGTTATGATTGCAGTGGAGGTAGAAGGCTAATTCTAGCAAATAGATGCACAAAGTTGAAAATGATGCACAGACTAAACGGTGAATTAACATTTTAGCTTAGTGGTTGTGACTTTAGCCCTGATTACCTCATTAACAGAGAAGGCAGCTGTGAAATAAGGGAATAAATGCACTAACTCTTTCTTATAATCACTTGTATAGATTGTTTCCTCACCTACTAAATTTAATCTCCTTACGGGCATGAAACTTGATTTATCAAGATAGTGCATGGAAGTGGTGTGGGAAAGCATGGATGTTCCATTCAGGCAGGCCTGAGGTTATATGTGGGCACTGCTCACAGAACTTAGACAGGCTCTCAACTCTCTGAACCCCCTTTCCTTCATCTGTAAAGAGCGGATAGTGGTTTCTAACATGGGGTTGGTGTAAAGAGCATATGAAATTGTTACCGAGTCCAAGCTCATACTGCTCACTGCATGACAGGCCAATGAATCAAGAGACATGATGTTCCTCCAACAAGACAAATGTTATTCTCTGTTCTGCAACTTTATCTCTATATGAATGGAGAAGGGTTATACCTTTAAAAGGCAGAGGCTTTAGAATGGGCTATCCTGTATATTTCATCCTATAAGGCAACATTCTAAACTTGTAGCAGAAGCAATAGAATACAAAGTTTAAAGTAAAATAAACTGATCCAATATGGAGTCACATTTGTTCAGATCAGGCATCTGAACTATGAAGAACAATATCTTATGGAAGTCATCAGCGGTTAAATGTTTAGAAACCAGAGAATGGGGACGGTTATATTCTATTTTAGCAAATATGTTTTACAAAATACATAAATTTTAGCAAAATAAAAGATTTCAACTTGAAAAAAAAAGAAAAATGAAAGGTGAGACGTCCCCAGGGTGACCTCTGTAGGACAATGTGTTCCACGGACAGTGGCGGGTGTTGTCAGCACCAACTGTCTTACTCACCTCTCTATTTAGAGCATCTAGTTAAGTACGTGGAAAGCAGGGGGCACTCAATAAAGGGTGTGTGAATGAATGATTACTCTGAGACCTTTATTTTACTCCTAGATGAGATCACGGAGGTGGGTATTAGCACACAGGAAAGTGCATAGGCTTGGAGACAGAAAGAGTGGACTGTTCTGCCTCTCTCCATCTGCTTTGCCAAATTAAATTATCTCTGATCCTCCATTTGCTCATCCGTAAAATGGGGCTACTAATCCCTACTTCATCAATGAACTACACAGAGGGTCTGGCACGTAGGGACACTATTCTGTTAAACCGTTGTTTGCCCCACACTCTTTCCCCTCCCTGCTCTCCTTGTCCTCAATAAACACCTTGTCAGTTCCATTTCTTTTTCAGAGCTGGCCCGTGTTTGAATAGCTTACAGCAGTTTGATTATTCTTAAAAGTTATATCCATTTAAATAATACTATAGTCCCAGCCTAATTACGTGTGAATCTTTATCTTGTTTGCAAAAAGAGTATGATTTTGGGCTTCCCTGGTGGCACAGTGGTTGAGAGTCCACCTGCCGATGCAGGGGACACGGGTTCATGCCACGGTCCGGGAAGATCCCACATGCCATGGAGCGGCTGGACCCGTGA